GAGCTACTAGTTTCTTGTTACTAGAAGTAATGCCAGGAGCTACTAGTAGCTTCTTGTTACTAGAAGCAAAGCCAGGAGCTACTAGTAGCATTCTGTCAACATTTCAAGTTCACTAACTTCCAACCCTTGCCATGAAAGGATGCGTCACACATCCCCGTTTCAGGCGTCCTCGACATCGCCGCGGCGGACGGTCGAGGCCCAGATATTTGGCTTGTTTTGATATCGCTAGGTGCTCATTTAACCAGAACTTGCTAAAAGTACATGTTGCATTGATGTTTGTTTTGGCCTGCTGTCAAGGTGCAGACATCTCCACTGTTCAGGACCAACCAGGCCTATGGTCGTCTTAGGTTTGTCATTTCCTTTTTTGCGTCTGGATAGAGTCTGGGTGTGTCCCAGTAGAGGCCTGCAACAGGTCATCATCATCCAATGGGCCCAGGGTGTGTGTAATATACCATGATATACTTAATAGGGTATATAAATGGTTGTTGTCTTGAGTCTACCCGGCAAGGCGTCCCCAAGATCTCCATCCACCCAGGACGGCGAATGGGTGCTTTTCTTTGCGGCGAATGGGTGTGTTTTGTGTTTCATTTGTTTTGTAGAAAAGCGTGTCATGAAATAGGTTCTTTGTTGATTAACTATTCATTAAATTTAATTAACCATGATGATTCTTGCTGTTGCTTCCTGTCAAGGAGTCTCGAACATCCTCGTTCATCATGGCTGGCGAGGCCTATGCTTTGCATTGTGGTTCGCTTTACAGAGCTTTGATATACTTTTCTTGTGTCTTGGACTGGCAGCTTTGTAATCTTCTGTAACCAAACATGGGCACATTTGGCGTACCTGGCAAAGGCATTCCAATCTTCGCCGCGGGCTGGTCAGGCATTTGATTTTGCTGGGCGGGCATGTCGTGGGAAAGCTTTCCTCCCATGCACAGCTTTCATCAGGAGTTATGTCAAGAGGTTCTTCTAAATCGATCAGAATTGTGGATTGATCGATCAAAGATTTTATGTGTCTAGGCGTCTCGACCCTCCTCGCGCCCCAGGGCTGGCCAGGCCGGACGTTTTTATTTTCTTGGAACCAAAAGGCGGTCGAAAAATGAGCAAGTCGCCATTCATGTGAATCTGAAGGTGTCTTCAACAGCGCCATGCAGGGCTCGTCAGGCCGCCGTGGACCAGTTCCGATGTTGTCCTCTCTGTGCTCGGCTTGATTTTTCGGCTTTGCTGGTCAAGGGGCTATTGATCAGAGGCTACAGAGAAGAGATAAGAAGGCATTTTTGATCTGGCAGGGGTCCTCAAGATCTTCACCATCCAGGGCCAGTCAGGCGATCGGACTGCGCAGTCAGGGTCAGTTAGACCAGAGGTTGATGCTTCGGAGTTGGTTGGCATATGTCGGCATCGAGTCAGACATGTTTCAACTTTGTTTTGACTCTTCATGCAGAATCCATGAAAATCCCGAATCCCAGCTTTGGCCCCTGCAGAATGGGCCCCACCGCCTTGGTACAAACGCAGGCATCTCCAAGCTCTTCACGATCTAGCCAGGCCGTGCTGTTTTTTTGATGTCAGTGTCTCCCACAATGCAGGTTGTGCCGGACGTTTCACGTGTTTTCACCTCCCCACTGCAGAGGTCGCCGTGTCCTTTGCGAGGTATAGTTGGGCGCCCAGAGCCGTCGGGTTGATTGGTTGATTGGTCATGGACGGTCGTCACATTTTGCTTGCTGTGCTGTGTTCCTGTGTTCAGGAATGGGTTGTTTGGTTGTACCGAGCTTTCCTTGACCCGTCACAGCAGTTATCTCATCCCATCCACATTGGCATGTGGGCTCATTTGCAGGGTAGTTTGCGCTGCCATGTGGAGCTTAGAATATTTAGTTGATTTCCCGAATCAACTTGCTTTGCTTTTCCAGCTCTATCGATCTCTTTCTCTAAGAGCAAGAGTGGGCATAGTCTCGCATGCCCCAGCAAGCGGATAGCCTTGAACCTGTTTGGGACATAGTTTCGCTACTATCTGGCTTGTTTTCCGCGTGTTGCTTGGGATGCTTCTTGACCCTTGGACACCTGTTTGCAGCAACTCTTGGCCCCTGCTTTGGCCCGGGGTCCCAAGGGTTCCCCATTGAAGAATGGCATCCGACCCGCTCGAAGTCCGATCCGACCGTTCGGATGAAGGCATGGCAGTTGCTGGCGGATTCTTGAACTTGGGGGTATAGTCAAACATTTGAGCTACAACGTCAAGAATGAGTACCTTAGTTTGTTCACAATGTCACCCACAAGGTTATCTCCAGGTGAGAACTCTTGCTTCCCAAGTGTCTACAATGAGTACAAGTCTCCCTCCATTTCTCTGCGAACGCCTTGCTTATGCTCCGCAGGCCACGCTCGTCCGTACGCGTGGCCGAGGTACCAACCTTCTTGATGCCGCAGAGAAGGGGCTCTTGGGCGACGTGCGGCATTTCCTACGCCTGGATCCCACAGCGGTGAGGAGCAGCTACTTGTCAGGCCGCCGGAAGGGTCAGTTGGATGGTGTTTCTTTTCGGGCAACAAGATGTTTGGGAGTGATTTTGGTAGATTTGGCCTTAGTTGTTTGAACAATGTTATGCAATGCTTGTGTTTGCCCTGGTGCTGGAGGCACTTTGTGGTGTATTACTGTATGTATGTACATCATCATAGAAACATGGTGAATTGTTGCTTTTGTGTGCTGGAATTATGTCAGATTGCACTTTTTCAAGTATGTTTGGAGTCCATGCACAGTGGAGGAAAACACGAAAACATGCACAGTCCATGATCATGAGGTTCCTCAAACAGTAGCTGCAGGAGGTACCTAAAGGCACATCATGAGGTTCGCATCAAAGGAGGCCATGAACAATGACCTGCCAGGACCTTTTAAGTGACCTTTGTTTGAAATCTGTTTGTACATCAATGACCCGTCATACGGGCCGACCAGTCCTGGAACCTCACGCAGGACCTGGGTCCAGGGGTCGATCGAGGCGTTCATTGACCAGCCACCAGCGGGGCCAGGCCAAACCGCCCTCCATGGGGCAGCTTCCAAGGGTCATGTGGATGTGGTCCGGGAGCTGCTGAGACGTCGAGCGCTCCTCGACAGTGCCACAGAGCTTGGCCAGGGCCCTGGATGAAACACCTTATAGTGTTTTTGGAAGGGGGCGATTTATATGGCCTATGTACTGAAACTAGCTTTGAGGATGTTGGGGACACTTCAAACACTCCAAGTTCGCAGCTACTCGCAGCCCCTATGCGTGCGCCCATGCTGCCCAGGCCACACACCATTGCACCTGGCGGCTAGGGCTGGGCATGTGGACGTGGTGAATGCCCTCCGACATGCCAAAGCCCAGGTGCAGATGGCGGGTCAGGGCTGCCAGGGCCTTGGCTCCGGGGTTTTGAGTGGTGAATTGAAACGTAACTCAACCCCATCCAAACCATTTTAGCAATGAAGTCTATAATATTAAGCCACCAAAGGGGATCAACCAAACTCAAGGTGTTTGTCGGCGCTGCTATTTTGTCTCCCATCATGTCTCATAAGTTTGATAATACATGTCGTAATGTAATCGTTCTTCCTTCCACGGCTTACCCCTAGCAAGCCATACCCCACTTGCCGGTGCAAACACCACGCGCTTAGGCTGGACGGCGCTGCACCTGGCAGCCGCCGCAGGCCACTCCGATGTGATCCACGCCCTGCTGGTGGTCGCCAAAGCCCGTGCCAACTCCGTTAACGAGGATGGTCGGTGTCTCAAAACGATGGTCTAAAGTCCCAGTTTTTGTTTGCTTGCGCTTTCTAGAAGTGTGACCCATGATGATGCCCATTTTGGCGAATTAAGTGTTTCTCTTTCAAGAGCAGATGTGTGACCCTGAAGAAATTCAATGAAATTCATGTTTGCTTTGCAAGATGCCCAGGCCAGACGCCACTGCACCTGGCTGCTGCTGGGGGCCATGCTGGGGCAGTCAAAGAACTGCTCCGCACCGCTGGATTCCTTCGCAAAGCTGTGGATCATGAAGGCTGAGATTTCTGTCGCTGCATGGCCGGGTGATGGGGGTAGAGATCTGAAGACTTTCGACCTCCGGGCGACTGATGTGGAGGTGAGGCAAATGCAAGACCGACCGTTTGCGAAACCTCGTAGCGTAACCCGATTCGTGAACGACGTGGTCAAAAGCGAAGTCTCGGGTCTCGGGGTTTGGATCGCAGCGAAGTGTGCAGATCAATCACGGCTGATGAACATCCCAACGGATGCAGTGTGGGATTCATGATGCAACTATCATCAACTGATATCAACTGTATATACTCAATTTGTGCCCTCATTTTGTTTGGTGGGGAAAGCGCGGAAAGTGTTTTGCCATACCATGTTTTTAGGTAGCTCCCAATTGTTGATCAAAGTCAAGCATGTGTTGTCATCAGTCATCAGCTTCATAATATATATAACGTCTACTATAACGTCTAAAGAACATGAAACCATTATGATAGTTTGGTATTTTTGTTGTCCAGGGCCACCAAAGCATAGTGGCAGAGCCAGTCCACCAATCAAGGCCAGTGTGTTGTGGTAATATTGGCAGATGTTGGAGCTCAGACCGATGTCCTTGCAGTAAAATGGAGATGCTGATCAGGTCACCAATTGCTTTAGCACTTGCGTTGGGTCACCATCCCACAATATACGGAAAACTGGTTTGCTGCATGAATACAAGCTCGTCTCTGTATCACATTGTCCACAGTCGACCATTAGTGAAGTGTTCCACAGAAAACCAGGCACACAAGAATGGTCTAAGACATTCCAAAACGGTATGCTGAACCAAAAATAAGAGCATGAGTCTGAGTATCTATAGGTATACATATGACCACTGACTATATATGGTCCGGGAATTGCAGGACGATCTAGTCAGGGGATTTCTCAAGTCAACTGTTATGTGTTCATCACACCTTCCACTGTCAGGCCGGTCGGCGCGGTTCTTGGCCGTCGCGAAGGGCCATGCGGAAGTCGTCCAGATCCTATCTGAGCACCAAGGCCGCTCAAGTGAGGGTGTGGCCTCTCGTGATGTGGATTTCTGTGGATGAATGAAATCCCACCATCCCACTTGGCAGGGCTTAACAACTCACATATATCACATCAATATCACATCATAGAATCATATTGAGTCACTTATCATACATAGGTTTGTACCTTTTTTTGGTGCACTTCCTGATGCAGTAGTGGTGGCAAGTCCTTTATTAATTCATAAACGATCAGCATGTGTTTTTTTCTGGTTCTCCCCATCCGCATCAGGATTTCCCTGTGACTTTGTTTGCAACAAAACAGAACACGTTTGGTTCGGTTCAGCCGTTGGGCTGAAACCCGATCGTTGTTGGAGATGTCAGGCGGTTCCGAGTTTGTCAATCAAGTTGAAGTAAGAACAGTTGAATAAGCATTGGTGTCGTTTTGAACCGTTTGGCCACATTCATCATATAGTATGGCATCAATTTGCATCATATGCTTTCTTGGAAATATCCATGTTGTATCACCATCACCAGCGAGCGGTTTGCTCTTTGAGGTCTACCGGTCTACCTGACTGGCGGTGTTGAGGTCTACCGACCTATCCCTTAAATGCTGGACCTGAATCCACCAACAAATTACTTTTTGAACTTGAACCAATTGATGGCTGCTTGAAAACCCAGGGATGCAGTGTGCCTGCCTTCACTCTAGCTGGAATATGTTGACATCATGACACTAGCCTAGTGTGTTGACATCATGTAACTTGCAAATGTTGGCACTCCTAGACTCCTAGTCAACATGAATACACTCCCTGAAATATGGATGGAAGTGGTTGAAAACCACCGGTTTGTACAAGAAACATGGGCATTCAAGGGGCCATGTCATCCACTTCCGTGATTTCAGGGAGTGTAGAGATGCTTTTGTCGTTCACCGCGCCAGATCAATGCCGGACCTATCGGCAGGCAGGTGCTTCGTAAAAAAGCTGGCTGGAAGACATCCTGCAGTGCCTGAACTCCCCCTAAATCAGGAGGATCCCCGTGGTTTTCCTTATGGCTTTACGGGCGGTGCGAGACTGTCTCCCGCCATTTCTCTGAAAACAAGATGCAGATTGGATCCTTTGTAGTCGTTCTTCACTGGTAAGTGTTGCAATCTACAATCACCCCAGTCCAGTCATGCTAGTTGCATGCCATGCCCATGGAACAACGTACGTGCTTACTGCTTACTTTCTTGCTTTCCCAGCCTTTGCGACTGCTCCTTGCCCCCCAACGTGGACATAGGCTATTCAAGCTTACTTTCCCCTTTCGTTCCAATTGCTAGAGATGCCCTGAGTTACCATTGGCGTTTGTAAAGAGACCATTTTGGTGGGTAAGTTCCGAAGTAGCCTGATTGCCTTCAAAAAAGAAACAAAAGCAGTCCTTTACCCTCCGCGAAGTGTATTCGAAGAATCGGACCCATTGGTTTTTGTTGGCGCTGCTTCACTGCTTCGAGGTCCAAACAACAGCAGTGGTTTTTAGAGATGACGTTGATCAGTTGTTTGTTTAATTATGTTTGTGTACTTTTGGGGTTTTAGGATGTTTTAGGGTTTAGCTTCTTTGTTGTTTTGTTCCATCCTCGTACTCATCCTCTATGAGACGACTGAAAATGACAGGATTTGAAATTGTATTGGGTCGAAAGCAAAGCACCACGGTCCACAGTATATGTCACATGGGAAGTTCACTCCTCGGTCGTTATGCCCTCACCCGCAGCCATTGGGATCCATCGAGGCATTCAGGCGAAGATCCACATGACAGCATCAGCCACCGAAGATTACACGGACGGATCCGATCGCGGATCACCCCATTCCTTTCACAATGATCGATTAGCATGAATTCCTTTGCATTATTTTTTTTGGTTTTTCTCTCTTCGCACAGGGTTTTCATGTTCACACATGAGACCGCCTCTTCGTTGAGACGAATCCACCTCTTTAGACCACGGATGAGACGACTTCGGCGACGGCGCAACCCAGCGGTATACCCCCCCCCGTCCTTTTGTTTCGTCGTCGGTTATACCCGGTGTGTTTTTGTTTGAACGCACGATCCAGAGTCCCAGGAACCAGGAGTATGGCAAATTGGTTGTACAAGAAGTTGCTCCAATTCACAGCTGTTTTGTGTTATTGTTTGTCCAGCAGTATAGTAATTAGGATATAAGTGGCACGTCCCCCCATGTACAAAAAGAATCAAACAGATATGTAGTATAGTGGTTCATCAACCTGAACATACCTGAACTATATGACTTGGGCATGATTTGCTAGTCCTCCTATCCAAACGAACGGAGGACTAGTGACGAACGGTGTTTACTCCAAAAGCGCCAGTGCTGTGGCTCCCAATGCGCCACAATACTCGTCTCAGCACGCATGAAGCGGTCGCACTGCATGAAACGGTGCCTTGGAGAAGCCGGCCGCCACGGTGGAGAGATAGACATACCCAGACACGTATAGGGGGAAGGTCAATTTCATGGGATTTGAGACATGAATTGACTACAACTGGAAGAGAGGCTCATCAGCCCCCAAAAAACATGTTGACTCCCATTCCTCCACTGTTCGATCCTGAGGGAGGACGGGAGGACTCCTCCTTGAAATTGGATGTGCAAAAACCAGGCAAAAACCACTTCGACCTGGATCTTCCAACCATGCAAGAATGTCTAATTCCTGAGCCAGGGTACAGTTCCCGGGGTGAGTGCTTGAGCCTTTTAATCAGATACAGAAGGAGTATAGGAGTATAGGAACTTTCGAAAGGTCCTCGTCGGAAGTGGAACCCGGTCTCCACCACTTGCGGAGAGAAAGATCCAAAAAGAGTTCCTCGTTGGATGCTTTTGTTCGAAAAAACAAAAAAAACAGTGTAGACATATGTAGTGTCCCTTGTTTTCTTAGTAGTAGTAGTAGTAGTAGTAGTAGTAGTAGTAGTAGTACATTTTGATATGTCCAATATAAATGTCCAGCAAGATCCGGGCTCGGCTCGAAACCAATGGCACGTGGAACTCTCTCCCCCGCTTCACCGAGGTGTCGCCCGCCCGCTGGTGCGTGACACGGGGCGACGTGCGGCAGCTGCAGCGCGAGATCCACGCGGCCATCGCCCGGGGCCGCGCGGCACGCACCCGGCACGCTGACAACGGGCAAAACGAAAAATCACCGGAGAGGTCCCGGACGCCGCAGGCTTCGGCAGATGTTCAGTGATGTTCAGTGATCGATTTCTATGAGCTGTTTGGGGCTGTTGTGATGTGGTCATGTCACAGGGTACTTTGCAGGGTCCAGGAATGTTAAAAGCTGCAGGGCCAGCTTTCAGCCTGTCCCACACTCCGGGTGAGGGAGAATGGGGTGCTGAGGTTAGGGGCCAAGGGAGAGTTCCCCTGACCGTCGTGACAAGCTGAGGCCATTGCAGGCATCATAGGTTTGTGGCAATGTAACTGTTTGTTTGTTATGTTGCCTTGCAATATGTGTTTGATTTGATTGCTATAGCACACTTTGTTGGCAGCAGTTATATGTTGTTGCTGTTGTTTTGACTGGTGGAATGGTATCACATTCGGTGATGTATTTGAGCAAGATGTCATTCATGTTTCACAACAGTATGAGTTTTGTTCCAAATAAGTTCATGTTCGGTCGCACCCAACAAAAAGGCAACGGCCTAAAAGAAGGCCCTAAAAATGGTCATGTTCCAAGGAGAAGAGTTCTCCAAGTCCTAAAAAGGGCTAAGCCCAGGGTCGGTGAGTCGTTTTCCTCATCGTCCGTAGGCTCGGACTGGAGCGGGGGAGCGAAGCGAAAGACTAAGAAGAGAAGCAAAAAGAGTCGAAAAAGAGTAAAGTACAACTCAAAGTATTTGGGGTGCATTGTTTGTTTTTGGAATGGTTGGGCCGTATGTGGTTTTGTAGTTGCGACCTGAATGAGCCGAAACTACGCCCATCCCTAAACAGAAATAGATCCTTCCAAGCTGATCCCCTGCTTGCATTTGTGTTTACATAGGGTGTGGCCCGTTACTAGCAACATGGGGTAAAGTATTATCACTATCATATCATCACCACCATTATGATCCATTATGATGATCATCATCATCGCCCACTGTTACTGCTAATGGGATATCGGATAGACCTTGAGGGTGTCCCATTACTTGTACCTGTAACAGTCGGTAGACAAGATCCTATAGAGAAGGGCCTGCAATTCGGCCCCATCCACTTTCGGGGAATGGGATATACCGTCCAAGCAGTTGGACCAGTCTGTCACCTCAGGAAGCCTCCAGACAGACGGCAGCGAAGGTAGCTCAGAAAACGGTGAGGAAAGTGGAAACCTCCTGGGAAGGTACTGTCTTCGGGGGGGACGTTCGCGACCGGCTGCGGGGTTTCAGAAGGAATGGATGTCCCGCGTTCCGCTTTCCTCAAGTTTGTAGGTCTTGGTATAGGTCCCTTGCCATAGTGCACAGATGGCTTTTGTGCAGAAATTCGGAAGCGGGCCTGTGATTTTCGGTGGCACCCCAATCCCGACTATTCAAGGCCAGTGACAATTGACACTCACGTTCTTACAGCTTTAGTTTTGCCTTTGTTCCCAATATTTTGTTTTGGAAGGCTGCTTTCTTTTGAAGATGTTTGAAGTCAATGGTGTGATTGACGACCTGGGGAACGATTTGATCCGTCACTTTGATGTATCTCTCATGTCACCGAGATGATGGCAACAGCTCCTGTGCTGGGCGACACGAGTTCGGCCCCAGCATTTACATTGTCAATGAGCAGTACATCAAACCAGTGACTGCCGAAGCCGGGATGTATTTGCTTTGGTGATGCTGTTTGATTTGTTTTGGTGATATTGAAGTAATTACCAACGTTGTTCCACACATGTCACATTGAAGTGGGTAGGGGTGGAGCTGAGACGATTGACTGCTAGACAAATCTATACAAATCTCTTTGCAGATCGCATCCAAGGAAGCCGGAAAGATGAGTTGGGCCTTGATGCGCAATCCCGAGGGCTTAGATTGTGATTTGTTCGTCAGCCATGCTTGGCAGGACGGTACGAAAGCCATCCATGCACCGTCGACCGTTGACTGTTTAGTTTCCTCCGTTGTCAGCCGGTGAAAGTTAGCAAAATCGCATCACATGTCAGAGAGTGATTCTACAGATTCTACAAGAAGTGAATCGTTCGCTTGTTGTTACAAAATACTGTAGTTGTTTTTGACTAAAACATACAAGCAAAAACTTGGTTGTTGTTTGTTGCAAGGGGATGGTCAACTTCCTAATCGATGTGCTTGCCAAAACACACTTAAACAACAGTTTTCAGAAGTGTTTTCCAAAGCATATGGGTGCTCCAGGAAGGCATCTTTGAATTCCTCTCCAAACTCCGTGGATCATGGCCCTGGCGTGCACAGCACGCATGGTGTTGCATGCTGGCAAATCCGCAGCATTTGAACATCAGCTCGATGCAACTTGGCAGATAGAAAATTATGTTTGAATGACTTTGAGGGTTCAGGATCTTTCGCGAAAAGTTGGAGATCTTGCTTTTGTCTTAGACCTTCAAGCAGCTCCAAGAATGGCTTTGAAATGGTGGTAGTGATTGTTTTTTTGTAGTACAGTATATGTTACATATGTTACATGTTATTTGTTGTTGCATGTCTTGGTTTCGAGCCGTGATTCTGACCGAATTGATGAAGTCAGGAAGTTTTGGGACATCAAAGGTCAAAAGACTCGTCAGTACAGTTCAGTCATGTTCCACTGAGATACTGGGGGTTTCACAATGCTTATGATTGACCTGTATCACGGGGGTTGGGGGGGGCTGAGGGGGGGGGGCTATGGTGCTTAGGGTTTGGCCATCCCCCATGACTGTAAGTAGACTTAGGCCATTCAAGGTCTTGACCCAACACCGTCAGTTTGCAGAACCGCCATGAAAAATCGCCGAAACCCCAGGCTTCAATCACCTAGAGCTTCGCCTTTTGCACTGGCCTTGCAGTCGTCCCGCTATGTGCTGGTCATCCCAAATCGGCAGCAAAGCATTTATTGCCGCC